CACGAGCCAGGTGCGCGGTGCACGGGTGTCGAGGCGAGCCGGTGGCGGCGGGCCGCCGATCTCGCGGTACGCGCCGCCGGCCGGCCGGGTAATGGCCGGTCGCCGGCGGCGCCTCTGGCCTGATTGGCGGCGGCCGGGCCGGACAGGTGCGCCCGGGCTCTGCGGCCCGCGCCATTCACCGCACTAATTACACGCGCCTCTGTCGCGCCGCCGGCAACACAACAAACAGCGGCGGCGGCGGGGCGCCCGACGGGCGGCCGCCGGCCCCTGACTCTGCACATCGCATGCGACAGGATGCCGGCAGTGGCTGCCGGTAGTCCTAGGCTCGACGCACTGCACACCCGAAAGGCTGCCGATAGACCCCGACTTTGCACGTCACACATGGAGGACTGCCGGATCCTCAGTGCTGCACAGCATACGTGATCGGGTTTGTGACGTGCACGGCCAATGGAAGCTCAGAGTTTAATAGGGGCCTTCATTGGTAAGATTTTCTTTACCATAGCCAGCCTTCAGCCATAGGCTGTTCCCATATCCGACCGTCACCCACCCCATTGAACTGTATCCACTCTTTACCCACCTGTTTGTATTTTGCCAACACTTAAAACCTAAATTGTGGAAGTGTTCCTGGAAGGTGTGCGCATATAATTCGTATTTTGCTTTGATAATCTCAAATGCAGTCTGAATGAGACCAATAATTTCTATAAAAAACGTATGCAGTAACATCACGTGGTTGTTTGAAGCATATATCCGACATTTCTTAATGGTCTCCCATATGCCTACTCATAGCGGTAGTTTTTTCAAAATTTATGTCCTGCCAAGCCCACTGTCCATGGTCTTAACCATCTCGCAAACTTATCTGGAGTCTAATTTCAATCCACAACACTCATTTACACGGAATTCATCAAGTCCCTATTCGCCACGATTGTCACTTTAGCCTTCGAAGCGGCAAATACGTGGTTCCTGTCAGTATGGAAATGTTTGGATTGTATCCCCCCCCCCCCCCGGGCCAGAAGTGACCACTTACGCGATGCAGGGAGAGTGGATTGTTGTGGGGCAAGACTACATGTACCTGTGGGTTCTCTACCGAGACTAAGCCCGCATAGGGACCCTCTTCACTCTTCGGGACAGGTACCTGGCGCTCGGACGGGGCCTGAGAGCATCTCTATGACCTGGGTGCACAAGGTACAGTATGGCTTCCTGTCGCTCAAATGTCGTCGCTCACCCGTATGGCAGAAGCAAATTCAGATAACCGTCCCAGAAACCCAGATCCCGACTGTGTGTGCTCATTTGTTTTAGTCGCTTTTTAGACCGGAGTCAGCTCTAATTACACTTTCTTAGCCACATGAGTCTGGCTTGGTAGCTAACCCGTGGGTCTGGCCCACAATAAAATGCAGGACTAACGCCATTTAGCGCAATTTCATGGAATGCGCTTACTTTGCGCCCCGTGCGAAAAAAAAACAACGAAAATCCCGGCTTCGAGTAGCGCAGGCATGATCTCGACCGTCAGTTTCAGCGCGATGTTCACAGATGACGCTAGCTGTGGTGCTCGTACGTGCTGCCATCTGGACGTCTCAGGTTCGATCGTTCGCTTGGGCAGATGTCGCCACTAAAGGAGTTTGCAGATAATTCTTGAGCTGAAGCAGATAGGCTGTCCGCAAGCATTTGGATGGATGCAACCGTGCAAAGTTATTGTTACTGCAAAGCTGGAAATGTTTGGTGTCGGGAATAGGCTTTAAGACACCAAACACGCCCATAAGCTTGTGCGCTTATTTGCGGACCAAAGCCACTATCACTGACAAAACAAAACATGTCTTTCTTTTCTGGCGTGCGTGCGTCGACACCTCGAGCTGAATGGTGTGACTCTGACTGAGATAATAGCTAGACTGAGGCTAAAGATCCAAAAATTTTGCCCATAGTTGACAATCGGCTAGTATTTTGTTTGGTGCCTTCTCGCGTGCCATTATTTGGCGCGCACTGTGTTGATATCATAGGTGGTTCCACGACATTAGTGTTAGGACAAAAGCTCCTACCAACAGGAGCGCTACATTACTTCTACTTGCCAATACCTTTACACAGCATTAGTGCTACGCGACAAAAACTTATGCCGCAAAAACTTACGCTCGCCATTACTACCACTGCAAACACGCATACAGTCATTACTCATACACGGCATTTCCTCTACTGAAACAAATAATACGCGAAGTTCAGTACGACACGAGAAAAGGTATGCTTCGGAAATATATGCTCGTCCTTGATTCTAATGCAAAAAACATATGCAATCGATACTTGTGCACGACTTTACTTCTCTTGCAAGGACTAAAACGCAACATTGGTGCTGCGCGATAAAAACTTGTACTTCAAAGACTCGTACCCATTATTCTCTCTACTGCAAAGACGTATACAGCCATCTCATGGCATGATTTCTACCGCAAAGACCTAAACACAACATTAGTGCCACAGCAAAGACTTGCAGTTAAGTCTTTGCTGTGGAAGTAATGGCCGGGCATATGTTTTTGCAGTATAGGTTTTGCTGTGTAGCTCTTTCTCTCTGCACGCCCACGCACGCTCCTTTTACGGTCAAAATAAGGTCGCATATACGTAAAGACTAAATAAGTCTTTGCTGTATACAAAATGACGAGTTCAAGTTTTTTGGAGCTTAAGTTTTGTTGTGTAGCGCTCATGTCGTGTGTGAGTTTTGCAGCGGACGGAATACAGGGTATAAGCGAAGTCTATGTGCTTTTGCAGTAGAAATAATGTCACGTACAACTGATATCGTAGCACCCCTGGTGGTAGGGGGTGTTTTGCCGCAGCGTCAATGTCGTGACGCCATCAGGGGTATCACTTTGTAAAATCGGTTCGGGGGACCTCAGCCGAAAAAGTTGACCTAGCCTACCCTCAGGACCTGATTTCTTCCTGGATTTCGGTCACTTGAATATTCGTCCTCGACATACAAATTTAAAACTTTTTTGATATTTTGAAGATTCGAAATTGTTGTCCTGAGAAGGAATGACTTCCTGCTTTAACTTAATATGAACTGCCTTCTTGTAGAAATCTTAGCATGGGATGTGGCTCACGCAAAAAGCATCTTCGTAAATTTTAGTGAGTGATCACTGATGACTAAAGCTGTCGCTGATCGTGTTGTATAACCACGATAGTCACAACTTGTGCGACAAATAAGTTAACCACCGTTGGGGAAAACTATGCGTGAACATGTATTCACTGGCCACACTACTCTAAAAAGTTACCGTATATTGCAGTCAATCGTTCGTTATCCCAATCCAGGCATTGTCATTTGAAAAGTCAAATATTTGCGGAATTCACAATGTTTCATTAATGTTGTAGGAATAATGTTAAGGCCGGGAGAATAAAAAATAAGTGTTTTGTGTTAAAGCGAGATATGATTCAAACGACGAAACGGGAAGCTGTTCTCGGAGAATTTTAGTGTGCCACACAATGGATCGACCGATGACCCAAAAATAAGCAGATTGCTTGCTTCTACAGCTGTCAAGTTATAACTTGAATGATTGACGAGCCACAGAAGCCCGTTTCGGTACTTGATCCCACATTCCTTCCACACGCTTGTTCCGTGTCCCATGTTCTATATCAACGGAGCTCCTGGAACGGTAAACCGTGATAGGTATTGTCCTGGAACTTTTTGAATTATGGATATTATAACACAACTTCGCTAAGCAATGTAATACGTTGAAAACGATGTCCTAAATGGGCTCTCACAAAAGTTGCCATCGTATGCATCGGGAACAGGTCAAATTTGACGCATCGGCACAAAGCATTTGGGGCATAGACTGTAATGTGGTGCCTGGTCAGAGGCACCTATTTTTCTTCGAAATATCAAATCGATTTCTTAGCCAGAGTTTGCATGACAGTGTGTCTCGTCATGCGTCATGTCCTCAAAAATTCTCCGAAAACTGGATGGCTGATTTATTTCGAAATAAAAACGGCTGAAACACGAGCCTGTGCCAGCGTGCTGACGTCAGAGTTCAGAGCGCGACGTCCGCTCGCTGCGAAAGGCCGCAGTTCGGTGGATGACTGTGCGTGGAGGGCCGGCACCCCATCGCCGGGCAGGCCCGAGGGGCAGAACCCGACTCCGCCCCTCACAGTGGCCCTCTCCCCGCACCGTGTTTAGCGCATGCCAGCGGCGGCCTGGAGCTGGGGGCCGGCGGGCAGCGGCGGTCAGATTACGGCGGCTCTGAGGCTTAGGGGATGGCCGCTGTCGGGCTGGCTGGCGAGATGGCCCAAGCCTCGGCGGGCAGGCTGGCTGTTTGCGAGAGCTGTGGAGAGGAGAGGAGCGAAATGTTCGCGGGTGCGCCCCGAGCGCCAAATTAAAGACCATGCTAATTTTCAGATAAGTTACCTTCATTCCACCCCGGGAGATCCCGGAGTTACAGGTAAAGACAGGGAGGTGTACAGGATGAACTTACGAAAGTGGAAGTCACCTGTTTTCGCCGTCACACAGGGCTTGGTAAGCTGGTGAAACAAATCATATAAAGAGCGCGGCCTCTGACCTGGAGAACGCGACAGTGCACGGCGCGGCTAAGGAGCCTCCGTGCTGACCGGCGCGCTGACCGAACCCTCCTGTCATCGGAGCTCTCCGCCCAGGCGTGTCCGTCCCCAGCCGGGCGGCCGATGGAGCCAGCTGATAGCCGGCGGGAACGCTTCGGCGCCTGGTGCGCCTCGATGCGGCGTCGATAGGGTCCAGCCGACCGGCAGGACCATGCGGCCGCCTCTCATGCCGCCGACAGGGCCGGGCGCGAGGAATGCGGCGGGCGGCGCCGACGGCTGGGGACGGGCGCCGCCGGCCCGCGCCGCCACTCGGCCGCAGGCGCCGCGGGCAAGAGGTCGCGCCCGCGCTCCCGCCGGCCTTTGTCTCGCCGACCCAGCCGGCCTTGGGGCCCGCCGCGGCGCGGCCGGCGCGCTCAAGGTCGCCGCGGAGGGCAGGCGGCCATTTTGAGCGGGCACCTGTGCGGCGCGGCCGGCCGTCGGCTATTTACGTGAGATCGCCGTGAGCGAGGGAGCGCACGTCATGGCCGAGCGCAGTCCGGCGGCGAGCGACGACTCGTCCGAGGCCGTGGCGCGCCGCGAGGACACCGACGGCAGCGCGCTGGCGCCGGCCAAGCAGCGACACAACAACAACGAGGTGGCGTACGCCATCATCGACGGCCGCGTGACACAGGTGCAGGTGGCCACCGCCGCCGACCTGGCCGCCGCCGCTGCCGCCGCTGCCGACGTCGACGCCGACGACATGCCTGTCGACGTCGACGACGACCTCAATGATGAGGAGAATGACGCCGATGACGACTCGATGGAGGTAAGGTCCGGGTTTTAACATCCCCGAAAGACGCTCGTCGGTCGGGTCGCGCTGGTCTACAGCCTGAACTATCCAGTCGGTGCAGGCTCTTGAAAGAGCTGGTCCTCAACTCACATCGTGCTGCGGTTCTGTGCGCGGAAGTTACGGAGAGGTGGATGGTCTGGCATCTCGTTTTGCCTGCGATCCCAGAGTGTCCTGAAGACCTGACGACACATGCAGCCTGCACGCGTCAGAACATGAGCGCGCGGTTGTCGATCGTGCACCATCGACGCACAGGACTCAGTCCCACGACCCTTGCCGCCATCGTATATAGTCCATCCGGACGCGTCGATCTCGTCACGTTGAAAACCGGCCGCTGTCGTCCTTGCTCCGTTGCAGTCTCCCCAGAGTTTGGTGCGCGGGCAGTAAAGGGAGACTGCGGTGCTGGGTCGGCCGCTAACGTTGGCCAACGGAGGTCGGTGTTGGTAGCTGACCGTGCCTGGGCGTTTTTTTCTCCTTTGCTCAGTCCATGAACACTCCTCCATATACGAATACAGCCGCCCATGGTGTGTTAATGGTGAAAATATTTCAAGAAATGTGTATGGAAGCTCTTTAGTAGCAAAACATAGATGACAGTGCGATGGAAAATAGGACGCTACAAAGCGGTCGCATGGGTGTATTCTATCAAAATTACTTAAAAACGCCTGGCGACTCATTGCATGATGTGCAATGTATTTCTTTGCACTCGCCTTCTCACGTCATCTCATGTTTTGTGTCTGCTGGCTTGTATTAAATGTTTCTCCTCAGAACAATAGAGTGGGCACTATACCCTAGAATGGGCTGCAGCAACGCAGTATCATTAAACATACCAGGTTATAGCTGTCCGGAATTTATCAAAATTGGGTGCTTAGGCTGAAAGCAAGATGTTAGTTCACAACGTCGTTTTGTTGATGTAACCTTTACTTGAAAGCGAAAATTTTGATGCTGCATTTTGAAAACAACATGTCCCACATTCTTATCACGTGACGAATTAACTTATATGAGCCTTATATTATAACTGAGACGAACCAGAAGTAACACGGGTCGTGGACTAGCGAGCATAGATCGGTCCAAGACTTCCTCAAATGCACACTAATCAAACACGCGGTCAGCGCCGGCATAAGTGAGGTGTCACAACACCGTTGAGATAGATTGGTTTGGTGGATCAGGATCTTGCTTCATGGCTGTTACTACATGTGCCCGCCTCTGCCGGTCTCCAGGGGTGCTCCCGCCACGCTGTAGTCCGTGATGTCTTCCAAAATAATGTGGAAATAAACATTACGCCTACGACGTTTGTTGGACGGGAGGAATATATGGGCATTCTCTCTACCAAATAACCAATACAAAAATACTCAACCAAATTACCAGCCGATGCTGATCAACCTGCCGTGTCTCAACCTGTGACTAAGAAGTCACGACCGTCAATTGTCCCCCGAGGCTACCAGTGCCGTGGGAGGCGACTGGTCTGTCAGCTACGACTGTCAGCTGGTCCCCTCCCACAGCTGACTCCCAGATTGTCGCTGGCTATTGGGATCACAGTTGCCCCCCTGACTGTCGCAGGGTCGTAGGAAAGCAGAAATAAGCGTGCTGCTCGCTAAGCAAACCACAGCTGCGTTTTGGGTAGAGGATGTATCTGACTCAATCTTGCGCGGAACTGCAACGCAAGTATTGGCTACCAATTAATCGCGTGTCCCCATGCTTCGTAAGAATCTGAGAGAGAATATTCCAAACACGTGTAAAGGCTCCGATTCCTTAGGCCAAAATGCACTGCAGTCGGAAGTGATCGATTAGCTATGAAGCATACACATACGTCGGGGTCCTTACAGAACGTTCGTCAATACCGCGCACGTTGATGCCTCTATCTATTGGTGGTATCCGTCAGAGCTCTTCACGGATATGGTGAATCCATCCGCGTATGATTAACTCGTGGTACCAAACTGGATCAGTAAAGCTTAAAGAAGCACGGCTTACAGTCAGATAGAGTTACAAAATTGCACAGTGCGGATGTCATGCAGAATTGAGAAGTCCAATGGCAGTTCAAGCGGTCTTAAACGTGCCCATTTATGTGAGGTCTGACCTTGTATACAAAGCAGGGTCGCAATGTGATGGCTGGTTCATGACTATGCTGGGAAATATTGATGTGAGATTGGCTCAACCAGACTGGATTTGACGTTTGAGTAAAAATGGAATGGCTCATGAACTGCATTAGGAGCTGGTATGGCGCTGGTTGATCAAAATTCAAATCATGGAGACCTGCTGCCTCCGCCCGCTGTTGTGCAATGCGTTGGAAAGGGGGCGTGGAAACGTCACCAGCGGGTGCCATGTCTGACAAGACACGGCACGATCTGACTCACCGCCGTGGTCACCGGCGATGTTCTGCCGACATGCTACCAACGACTGCGTATGCACGCCCGGAACAGGGCGCCGCAAGGCTTCGGCCGCTGCTCTGGTGTGTTGCGTCAGCGCCAGCGCCAGCACCAGCGCCAACACCAGCGAGCGAGGTTTCCCACACATCAGCGGCGGCTCAACAAAGCGGACTTGATCGCACAGCAGCCGGAAAAGACATGGCTTCACTGAGTGAGTGGACCCTGGGAGTACCGACTTTCCACTCTAGTGTCCGATGTCATCGAGTAATGGCTGCTATAAAGAGCCATCTGGCATGGCTCACAGAAATAAAACTGGACAGATGGACGTACCGGGAGCCTGTATCTTTCTTGAAATCGAACGACTAGAAACCGTGGGCAACTAAGGAATTTATGTTAATTTGTCGAAGATGACGTACCTTTAGATTTTATGTTTTAGTTGAATTGGATATGGAAAGAAAATTAGATTCAGCAGTTTGTTTGCAATGTAAGGGCGGAGAAAATGCTCAGCGGTTGTTTAGTTTCACGATTGCAGTTCTTGTGAAAATGTATAAGGGCGATGCTAGAAGTTTGCATAGTTGTGCCAATGAGGCTTCAAATTTGTTCCAGCTGAGCAATTTATGTGGCGTAGTCCTGCTCAACCTCAAGCCACTCGTCAGAAAATGCACATGCTTACACGCATATGTAGCTATCTTTTTACCATATTGCGTGAGAAGGACAATCAGGCTTCACGGGCAAAAGTGTTTACGTGCCCGAATTTTAGCTGGCAATAAGTTCAACACGTATCTCGCATTGCATCGCGTGCAATGTGTGTACATCCATGAATATCGTATGTGATAGGTAATGCACAGACACTGTTCGGCTGGGTGGCAAGCACCACGAGCGGCCTTCAGATTCGTGTATAAACTCCGTCTCCAACAGTTAACAGCTTTTATTTCTAGTTCCAATAGGACTGGCCGCTGTAAATTTATTAAATAACAGCTGAGGTCATTGCTCCTTTCTAAAATGGCACTGCTTATGATACCATTTTGAATGATTTATCATATTTTGTTATCATAAACAACGTTGAAAAGGTATGTCAGAGGAAACCTTTGATTGCCGTTGCGTCCTGAATCTTTGCTTATGGATTTTCCATGATTTTGAATGCTTCTTCGTCCGGTGAAAATGCAGTTGCGGGCAGCATTTCGCTCCATAATAAAGACACCCTATCCGTGTATGAGCGTAGTGAATTCTGTTTTCAATGCGTTCCACTTTACTGCAAATCTTGTTTTTTACTTCGTTTGTGCAAATGTAATGCGGCTCCTTCCCGTCCTTGTCTGACCTGTTTGTGTATGAGGGACGGCACAATGCCAAAGAGGCTTCGTTCAGATTCCCAAAGCTTAATGCCGCTGGCTTTTACGAAATCGGTCAATCTCGGCTCCCCTAAACAGTTGTTTGACGTTAGGCTACAGATCGTGCTGTAAACCACAATTTATTGGCGTTCAAGGAGCCCTGGATTAACCGGACTTCCCAGCAGTCTTCAAATCAATCTCGCCTCGTCAAGGTCTCTGATCTACGAGCAGAAGACCCCAGCATCACAGTATCGTTCCGTTCAGTGACGTCACCGTTATGTCCTACCCTGCCCGTCGGCCGTGCGATGCGTCGCAGCGGCGACCGGGCAGGCGGCACCCGAGCGGGCTCTGTATTCGCCCGGCGTGCCCGGAGCGTTAGACGGCGGCTGGCCGGGCCGGGCCGGGCCGGCCCACGGCCCAGAGTCCACCGGCCGCAGGTGGGTCCTGCACGCGCCTGGTCGGTGGCGGCGGTACGTCGGCCGGTGCCGAGCGTCAGCGCCCGGCCCAGACTTGTGCCGCGACCGCAGAGCTGGGCACCGGCGCCTGTCCACGGACGGGGCATGTGCGCCGGCTCTGGGCTGTTGACGTGGGCAAACTGTGGACAACAAAAAGGTGCCCAGAGCTCGCTTTGTGCAAGTGATGTAAAAGCGTAAGGGCGATGTTGGAACAAGACGAAAAGAACAGTGACGTGTCAGCTGCTTCTGTTGAGGTAAGGCGGGACTTTTCAGCGGAACATGCACACACATGTGCAACACAGGGAAGTTGGTGTTTCTCTGCTCATTGAGCTTGTTCCGCAATATCGGCTTTTAAATATACCAAAGTATATTTTATTGTTGGCGTGCCGGGTGGGTGCTTGGCGCCACAGGTCTGCCACAAGATGCCGTCTATCCATGTGAGATGAATTTATGACGCTATTTTTGTGCACTCTGTGCACGTTAGATTGCATGGAAAGCATTGACGGGGTGTCAAGTAGCGTGCCACACTTGTGTCGAATTAAAACACCATATCAGTGACATTGACCTGGATATGCTCAACGACGCCCTTCATATCCGCAGAAATCTACAGAATCTTGTGACTTCTGCAGCTGTTGCGATCAGCAGCGTTGTTATCCCTGGCGGTGATATTGACGAGGGAGCTGCATCATAGCCGGGAGCGAATACCGCACCTGCGTCCTCGCAGTCACGAGTCGGTGGCCACCCGTTCTGATGACGCTACCAGAGCAATTACCCATGGGGAAAATTAACGCCGTGGCAGGGTGGCCTGGACGGCTTGTCACGAATTCTTCGCTTGGCTGAGAGCAGCAAAGTCCGGTGCGGTGAAGCGCGCAAGGGTGATATGTGTTGACAAAATGCATGCGTTAGAAAATGATATGATTGTGTCATAAACAGGCGGTAGAGGAATTATTTGGGATGTGTACCTACTATGAAGAAATATAAAATTATGCTGGCATCGCTACAACTTGAACATTTTTGGTCAACGAGGACGGCGTTTCTGGTTATATGTCTTAGCTATACGTAAATAATCTGCAGATTAGATTAGCTTCAGAAGTTACAAATATCAATACAACTAAGGTGGCCTGGAACTTCTCACGTTTCTCACTATCAAACACTGAAAACCGTGACGTGACGTGTTGACGTGATGTATCTAACACTAAAAACCGTGCCGTGACGACGTGACGTATCAAACATGAAAGCCGTGACGTGGAACACATCCTGCCGTGACGGGCCTTCGCTCTGGTGACCTGATGATGCACCTGCTGAACTTTCAATTCTCGTCCTTCGATCTTCGCATAGGTCTGATAGCGCTACGAAGGGTTTGCGACACCACTAAGAACACGTTCCTCTACACACACACCGTACAGTGCGCCGTTTACCGCTGAGAGTGAGTTCGTCGAGTCTATGGCATACCTGACGCCCTGATCATCTCATGAGTTTTTTTTGTAATTTACCGCTGCCGTTGGTAGCAACATCTTCCATCCGCATCTTTGTAATGTCCCAATGCACCCGCATATCAACGCTCGGTGTCCGAATGCGTTGTCTGCCCGTGTATTCGGGCGGCCCGACGCTGCGCGGGAGAGATCGCAGCGCAGTGGACCGGAACATGACGGCGGCGCACGTGCCCGGTCGCTGACTGAGCCCTACCTACGCAGAGCGACGCAGCCCGCTGGAGCCCGCCAGCCGCTGATTATCTCGTCCGGGCCCGTGCCGTGGTGGCGGGCTGAGCAGCTCTGGGAGAGCCTGAGACCGCGGCTGGCTCGGAGACAGGGTCGGGAGGGGCACAGCACGGCGGGCTCGGAGACAGGACCGGGCGCGCACAGCGCGGCGGGCTCGGAGACAGGTCCGGGACACGCCGGCGGAGTTGCTCAGCCGGAACGCCAGCCGACAGCCTGTAGCCATTTAGGAGGTTGTGCAAGATTGTGCGACACACACAACATGTGGGTTGCTTGGATGTGAAAGAGAATTCCGATCTATCAGTTTTATCCAAGGTTAAATACGTCTACGACACATTGATTTCACAGCCGGTATCCTTGAGGTTGCATTCAAATATGCAGAACTACGACAACAGACGTTGTTGGTACCCTATCCGAAGTGCGCAATGCGCCATGTTGAAGAGCAAAATTTCATAGGTGGAGCTGTTCGTCACCCGAGTATCAAAACCGTTAAAATGGGATTGAAATTGCTTTCAAGTTTTGTTCTAAGTTCATAAGACAGATCTAGCCGCAGTTCAATAGATTATCGGACCTCATTGTCCCGTGGAGGCACTTCTCATGAACACTCATGGTAATGCGTTAGAAGCATGCGGCGACGAAATGTTCCTTCGAATATAACACTCAGAACCGGTTTCAAATGACGTTAAAAATGTGCGCAGACCCCACACGTATGTCGGCACCGCGCTGTGCCAGAGCACCCTGTGTGGCCTCCGCCACCGCCCGCGCGGGCCCCTGTGGCCCTCCGGAGTGTCAGGGGCACCACACTGTGGTTCCGGCCGGCCGTGGCCCCGTCGCGCCGGCGATGCCACGCCGCTGCCTGGCCGTGACCGCGCCCTGCAGGCGCGACAGTCATTATAGTCGGCGGGCACTTATTGATGCATATAACTACGGTGACCATGGCACTGACATCGCAATGCTGCTGTGGTGACAGGGCAGGCGAAGTGTCCGCACGGTCGGTGGGGCTGGTGGCGCACGAGTCATGTCAACGGATGCTCGGTACGTGATCCGAAGCGTTGCTGGTCGAACCCACCTCTCATCCACAGCCCTGGCTTCATGCTTCATCACCACGCCTCGTCCCCTCCTCGCGGGCATGCTGAGGCCGCCAGCCACGAGTCGGTCTCATGACCACCCCGGCCGCTGTGGCCCGAGCTCTGTCCCGCGCCACTACGCGGCCCGAAGCGGCGCGGTTCGACCTCGGCACCGGTGATGACCCAGGGTGGCCGCAGCGCCGTCCCACTTCTTACCTCTCTCCTTCATGCCGCAGCCCTGACATTACCAAACCCGACCTGGAGCGCTCTGACCTCGCGAAACCGAGCCAAAGTGGCTGATCGCTCGGCTGACCCGTGTGTCGGTTTCAGGAGCGTGTGGGCAGCCACCCGTCGGGGATGGGCGCCATCACGTCGCTGTCAGGCTCGCCCACCTACAGCGGCTCGACGCGGCTGTCTCACACGCCGACGTCCGACTTCCAGCCGCCCTACTTCCCGCCGCCGTACAACCCTGTCAGCGTGGCCGACCAGTTCCAGCTGCACCACGTCAACGCCAGCGAGGTGGCCTACCAGCTGAGCAGCAGCCTGCAGCAGCAGAGCTACCCCATCAGCGCGCTGGCGCGCCGCGGCGACGCCGACAGTCTCACCGTCAGCGTGAGTATCCTAGGTGGTCTCACCGTCAGCGTGGGTATCCTAGGCAGTCTCACCGTCAGCGTGAGTATCCTAGGTGGTCTCACCGTCAGCGTGGGTATCCTAGGTAGTCTCACCGTCAGCGTGGGTATCCTAGGTAGTCTCACCGTCAGCGTGGGTATCCTAGGTAGTCTCACCGTCAGCGTGGGTATCCTAGGTAGTCTCACCGTCAGCGTGGGTATCCTAGGTAGTCTCACCGTCAGCGTGGGTATCCTAGGTAGTCTCACCGTCCAGCGTGGGTATCCTAGGTAGGTCTCCCGTCAGCGTGGGTATCATAGGTAGTCTCACCGTCAGCGTGGGTATCCTAGGTAGTCTCACCGTCAGCGTGGGTATCCTAGGTAGTCTCACCGTCAGCGTGGGTATCCTAGGTAGTCTCACCGACAGAAGCTTGCAGCTTCACAACATGGGACTGAGCGATCTGTTTTGATCTTTTATCTCCTTTTTGACCGTCAAATTGCGTAGCTTACATGGATTTACGGCCAACTTAAAAAATCAGCTTAGGTAACATTCAGTACCATCGTTAAAGCCTGTCTGCTAATGCATCCCACAAAGTCTGGCCGTCCGCCTTAGTATCCAACACGATCTCACCGTCAGCTTTAGTATCTCACACGATCTCACCGCCAGATTTAGTATCCCAAACGGTCTCACTGTCAGGTTTAGTATCCCAAGCGGTCTCGCCGTCAGTTTTAGTATCCAAACGGTCTCGCCGTCAGCTTTTACTATCCTACGCGGTCTCCCCGGAGCATAAGTAGCTCACATCGCGCCCCCATCAATAAGTTCGTCCCACGCCCAAGCCAGCACCCTGGCCCGCAATGCCCGCACCTTATCAAGACAACGAGCGCGGCGTAATGTGAACGGTTGCGCATTGCTCATCCGTGCAGCGGCGCGGCGGGTTCGTCTCCGCGGCGGCGGCGCCGTGGCAGTGAGCGAGTGGAGCGCCGGACGCGCGCCGGGTGTAATGACCCGGTGCAAGTCATGCCGCTGGCGCTGACCGGGCGCGCGCGCCGCTGCTGCCGGCACACTGTGCAGGGGTCCGCGCCGCCCGCGCGCTCTCCCGCGCCGCCGCGGGCGGGGCGCTAATGGCCGGCCAACGCGGCAATCATCTGCGCCGGGCTGCGTCGCGGCGGCGGTTTTGGTACGCCGCGCGCCGCGGGCAGCGGGCAACGCCGGCCGGCCACTTACCGACCACGGGCGGGCAGGGGGGGAGGAGAGGGGGGGGGGGTCAAGCTGCGGGGGCCGAGTTGGCACCCGCGCGACAAGTGCCGGCTGTGCCTGCTAGGAAGACGCCGATGCGCCGCAGGCTCGGATGGAGTAACTGGTGAAGAGATGTCCCGAGGATCGCACCAGTGTGCATCCTGGATAAAAATGTTATCATGCGCCCAGTTTTCAAGAGCTTCAGTCATCTTTTTAGACTAAGAGCAAGCCCATGGTGCAGATGGATCCTTCGGCAAAACGTGAATATCTCCAATTCGGTGAGACCTTTGAAATTAGCTTACAGTTTAAGCTATGGCCAAGAATAGTCCTTAGCTTTAAACCAGGTCCTGGACACCGGAAAACATGTTAATAAGAAACATTTCAAAATCGGCTGGAATTTCAATTTGATGGCCCTGGGTCTAGAGCCTGACCTGCAGGCGCCTCGTAAAATCTAAACAGATATCTCCTTGCCGAGATGAATATTGTGCCAGTCCGCTATGGCACATTCCGTTGTTCTACCATCCCGTTTAGCTAAGGTCAAGGCTCGTATTCAGAAGCATCCGAGCTATTGTGGATGAACTCGCAAGAATCAAAACGCTGCTCACGTAGTGGGGTCACAGTCATGAATGACACACTTGGACAGCACCGAGCAGCACTGGCGCGGCTGTCTCCTGCAGACGGCAGGGCGTGTTCGGGCTGGGTTGCTCGCGTGCACGGTGTACTCGTGAGTCAGAAGGATACGACCGTGGAGCGGGGAGGTGCAAGCCGGTTCACATTTGGAATAGCAATGCCTGCTGCCTTTTAGACGGCTTCGTGGAAGGAGTATTTGGCATGATCCGATGAGCATTACATCTGAATATACAGCCATACTGGTACATTTCAACACAACCAGCGCGCACCATAAGAGTAAGACTAAATTTTAACACTATTGAATCATACTAATATAACATGACCATAACGTACATGAATTACATTTTAACACTATTTAACACTATTTAACACTATTGGAACGTGAATGTCCCCCCCCCCCCCAACTTTCTAGGAATCCCCCAATGGCCACGCTGCACTATGGAGATCCGCCGACCAAACGTCACGGACTGCAGGCAAGATCCGACCGCTGGGGCATGACGGATGCCAATATTGAAGCAGCTGTTGGCAGCTGTTGGGGGGGGGGGGGGGCAGTCTGCAGGTGCACGGCTGACATCACGCGGCTGGTTCATGCTCGGTCATCTCCTGCCGCTCCCGTGCCGAGCCCGTCCAGACGAGCTCTGGTCGGCCGATGACCTGACCTGACCCAGCTCGTCGGCGTTGCAGGCGGCCAACCTGCACATGTACGATTCGGCACGGTTCGCGTCACGGCCCGAGACGGTGCTGATGCGGGCCGGGCACGTGCTGGACGGCCAGGACGCCATCGTCATCCCCAACTCGATCCACGCCATGGACGACGGACAGGTGAGCCTCGGCGTGGGATGCGCCGCTGCGACGTCCGATGGCGCTCAGACCTGCTGCTGCGACGTCCGATGATGCTCAGACCTGCTGCTGCGGCGTCCGATGACGCTCAGACCTGCCGCTGCGACGTCCGATGGCGCTCAGACCTGCTGCTGCGGCGTTCGATGATGCTCAGACCTGCCGCTGCGGCGTCCGATGACGCTCAGACCTGCTGCTGCGGCGGCGTCCGACGACGCTCAGACCCGCTGCTGCGGTGGCGTCTGATGACGCTCAGACCTGCCGCTACGGCGTCCGACTGCGCTCAGACCCGCTGCTGCGATGGCGGCTGATGACGCTCAGACCTGCTGCTGCGGCGGTTAATGAAGCTCAGACCTGCCGCTCCGACGACTGATGACGCTCAGACCTGCTGCTGTGGCGATAAATGAGGTTCAGATGCGCCGCTGCGGCGTCTGATGACGCTTAGACCTGCCACTGCGGCGGTTGATGACGCTCAGACGGGCCGCTGCGGTGGTTAATGACGCTCAGACCTGCTGCTGCGGTGTCTGATGACGCTTAGACCATGCTGCTGCGGCGACTGATGACGCTCAGACCTGCTCCTGCGGCGGCTGATGACGCTCAGACCTGCTGCTGCGGCGGCTGATGACGCTCAGACCTGCTGCTGCGGCGGCTGATGACGCTCAGACCTGCTGCTGCGGCGGTTAGTGACGCTCAGACCGGCCGCTGCGGCGGTTAATGACGCTCAGACCGGCCGCTGCGGCGGCGTCCGATGGCGTGGCGGCCGCTGCGGTGACGGCTGACGACGCTCAGACCCTCCGCTGGCCTGTGACTGGCTCAGAGTTGACGCGCGCGGGCGCTGACTCCGTGCTGTGATCGATGACCGCGATGGCGCCAGCAACATTGGACAGCCGGGAGCTGTGCCCAGTCCCGGCGACGTCCTCTAAGCCCAACCAAGCGTCTGTGGAAGACGATGAGGGCAGCGAACCGCGATCGTGTCAAACATCTGCCTGGTTTGTGGCTGCAGGACTTGTAGTCGCCAGGTTCAAGACCGGTTGAATGCATAACGAATGTACTGGATCATTAGCATCGGTGACCTTTTGAACGAAATGCCTTGCAAACTAGCACCCCCGAATTCCATCGACCGGGCAAGGTAATATGTAACTGCGCTGCTTCATCTACAATTTATGTTTTTCATCTTCCAAATAAAATCATGTTCCCTTTCAACGATTTCAAAATTTAGATGTAGCACCACAACATTGCTGCACTTTGAGCTACCAGGGTTTGGGCCTCCGATGTTTAGCGCTTTGCTCTGTTGATATCACACAGAGTTGAGCCGTCTTCAGGGAATATTCAAACACAGTCGGTTAAGTCGCGTGACGTCACGTGGTCAGCGGGCTCGAGCACCGAAGTGTGTCCGTGACGGAATGCCAGGCCGCGGGCGGGCCGGGGCGGCCCACCGGCCGGGAAGTTTGCCCGGTGCCAACAGGCGGTCGCGGCCACAGCCGCCGTCCCGCCCGGCCCGTGACGTCACCGCAGTACACTACAGGGCTGACAGGCGGGCGGTGGCGGCGGCGGCCGGGTGATCTGGTCGATGCAGTTTACAGTGGAGCTCGGCTGATGAAGGGCAGTCTGCGGCGGGCGGGGTTAAGGCGTTCTCCTATCGGCGTATTGTCATTAGCGCTGCGGCATTTCGTACTAACATGTCGGGCACAGGAAACTTCAATGAGCCCAGGATGTTCCCCTGGGGCGTTCTGTAACCTTCCATTACGGTATGCGACAGCCCACCCCAGACGCTGCCATGGTGGCCCATCACCGTCGCGCTCACCCGGCGGGCCGCTAGAGCACCCCCTCCCTCCCCCCTCCACACGTACCTCTGCGGCCTCCAGTGACGTTACCTCGCCCGCTCCGTTTTTACCCACGACCGTACAAGGCGTGGCCGGCGGAGATTCTCAAGGCCAGCTTTTTGCCTGAGCTGCGCGTGCCGCGCTCTCGCGCTCATAAATGAGCGGTACGCTGGCATCTCGCCGCCGCTGACGCCCGTCAGACGGTGGGCACGACCCGGCACTGGCTTCGTAATCTGTTATGTGTTGTTTACATCGCAACGCCGTCCCGAAGATGCTTCAGGCAAAGTGGTTAATGCAGCCAGGCTCAATAACGTTTAACGTGGTTTCCTTGCGACGTTAAGTGCACTGCACTCGCTAGGCTTTTAAAAGCTGACACACATTTCCGTGGTGAGAACGGTTCAATTTTTTAACTATCCAATATAAAAAAGTTTATCGATTTGGTTTGGCTGCGCTGCGTTTTATTCTGCCTCAGTAAAACTGAGACCAATTGCCCAGCTCACCTGCCAATTAATTTGTAGGATTTGCATCAGCTGACACGGATAGTCCATTGACTTCTCAAGAGTCAGTCGAGCAATGGCTTAGCAAAGATTCGCATAGCTAAATACCAGGAAGTTACAGCCATCAAAGGTCAAAGCAGCCAGGAGACTCCCAAGACACCCGAGGGATTCCCCGGATTACCGAGCCGTTGAATGGCATGTACAGTGTCGGAAGACCAGCGGAATTGATGATGATTGGAGCTTTAAGATGCGCCGGCGTCGGAGAGCATCTTATGCCCGACCAGTGAAATTGAAAACACCCGGGGATACAGACGATATTTGGCTCCGAGACCCAGTAAACCGCAGATTGCACACATTCCGGAATCCAAAACTCATGGGGGATCCGGCATGGCTGGGTACTGAAACGGTTGAAACACAAAACACGGTGAAAGTTAAAACGGTGCCCGACAAAACCATGACAAACTTCTTGACGTCACCAATAAATAATCACGTTGTTCATTCTCAAAGATGGACATGGATCAGTTTAAGATAACCGAAAAGCCTTGAACTCCTGCGGGGCAGAAACAAATCGCAAAAGCATGAGGGTCTGAAATTGTCCCCAGTTCAGCTAAAGCCAAAGGCATGGTTTCCCAAATTTCACACACTTCTTTCCCCAAGCTGGCCCCCGACTGAGACGGAAACTTCATCTCTGGCTAGGACCGAGAACGGTTTTAGTACCAAAAAACGACGAGGGCACTGATACATTAAAGAGTTTCACAGGATGGTTCGGATACCAGCGATTGTTTTCTGCAAACCAGGAGTTCCCGATATGATCTGAGACTCTGCAGAAAGGTCAGAACTCATTTGAGATTGTCGAGGCTACGGAAAATCGTTAGGCTTATACAATGGTATCGGTTTGATATCACCTCATCATGGAGCTCCTCATGGGCGATTCCTCGATAGACAAATGCAGCACGCGCACATGCATAATGACCAAAAACTTTCAAAATTGAATGAGACGTCACAGCTCTACCCATCGCCATTTGTATGGAATGATCATACATCATACAAGCCAGGCCAATTTAATACAGGTATGTTGTCTCTTTCACAACGTAGCTCAATGTAATACACCATTGATCCATGATGTGTTGCCCAGTGCACTCCCTAAATAATCTTAGAAAGGAGACAGCATGACAGTTAAAGTCATCTCAATCTTATCCGACCACACTGACACGGAATCAGGGTCGGAGGACCGAGTGCCTGCAGATGCGCTTCGGGTGTCTGTCGCAGCGGCCCACGCGGCCGGGAGTTCATAGACGGACAGCGCTATGATCAATCAGGCATTGTCAAAACATGATAGATCTGTCCATGCATCGATGTTCACATTTCGGTGCAGTCCAGCTACCAATTATGAATGCAATCGCTTAGCAAGTTCAGTTCTTTCACAAATCCATTTAATCTGGTGAAATGGTCTGTCCCTTTTGGGCCACAGTACCGAGGCGCTATCGGGGCTCCTGCCCCAGCGGGAACCTGGGGCCGGATAGAATGTCAAGCCAGCCACGTGCAGGGCATACGTCTGAAGGACATCCTGGAAGCCTTGACGCCTTCCAGGGGGGAGGGGGGGGGGGGGGGGGGTCTCTAGCCCTCCCACCATCTCGGCATCCAACCCCCCAACTTTGAAAGAAGTACGAGCCAAATCCGGGAAAACACTAGTTTGTTGACAAACTTTGGGAGTATCCAAAATTGTTTGTGGTTCAGCTCTTCCTCTTCTCACCTCACCTTGCAAAACTGCGCCCCTGACTGACGGCATCGCACGCAGTCCACCAAATGCTGGGTGCTTTATTTCACGGAAACCAGTGACGTAGTTTCCGATGCCGCGGTGTGACCGCAGAGAATAACTTTATGTGGCAGCAATAGGTGCGGCATACCTGACGCTGCGCAGCAGTGTGACTGCGGCTAAGACAATATGTGCTGTGGCCCCTTCTTCGGCATTCGCTGCGGCTGCGCAAAAGCAATTATCTGTTGAAGTTTGTTGTGGACGTTAGTCCCTCGCGTTACCTTTTGTATTTGTGAGGCGTTGATGAAAAGAGGGCTATTTGCGAAAAAATCGTGCCAAAATTCTGAAGCAATATGTCGCAACGAATTATTGAAGTAGAAATGGACTCCGACGAAGATATGAATTACATTATGGTGCGTGTTTCGGAGATCATTTCTGTACTTATATAAAGGTTTAGGCGGACGTCTGGCCCAGGTTTCATTGTTTAAAAGGGGGATTGATTGCTGACTCATTTTTGTCTCCCTGATAGCCACCTTAAAGTCATCAGTAAGAAATAAGTTGTTGCAAAGTTCTGTTCAAAGGTTTATCATAGTATAATGGCAATTGTGCAATGTGTCTACCTTTGATGGGTAAATCACTGATTCCGTGATGAAAAGCTTTTTTGATAGCATGCATTTAAAACAATGAGCATACTGCTTTCAGGCAGGGAGGTCACATGTAGACAACAATGCTAATACTACTGGAAAAACTATTCTTAGCCGTCATTGGTGTTCTAACCATTACTGGAGCATTTCATTCAATATTTATCCGTTTTCTGTTAGTTGTACATTCTGAGAAAAGCTATGAAACTATTTGAGAACAGTTGCTATGCAGTAAGTTCTCAATGTCACTCATGATTCAGTGCATAATAGCCACCCTTCATGCCTGTTGAGTCATGAGTGACAGTAGCTCATAAAACATTTTCTGACATGGGGCTTAATGTTTTCTGGTGTATGGTCTATTAAGTAGGCAAAATATTCTGCTCATTTTGTGTTTCTAGGCTGCAATTGGGTCAAATATTTGGGTGAGGAAAATTTTAAGTCAAATTGGGTAAATGTAGCATAATTATAAGCTTCTTGTTACCTGTCTGTCTAAGCAGTATCATGATATAAATCTATTTACATCAATAGATTGCATTTTTTTCTTCATAATGTGTATATAAACCTGAGTTTTGTTGTTACAGGGAATGGGCATGGACAGTGATTCATTTCCAGGTAAGTTCCTACTATTTTCTGCTTCTGTTAGCTTGTTGGGAGATGTCAAACACCCTTATTAATGTAATTGTATGCATGCTAGGTGCTAGCATTTGAGTGACATTTATTTTTGGTGTCTGCTTTTGTTTGTGCAGTACATGCTGTTTGAAATGCTGATGCCTGCCTGATTAATCTTTGTATTCATGTGTTACATTTTCTGCTCCTAACAAAACATGTCAAAATTTCTTTTATTTGCATTGCTTGTTGTGTCTGTGTTTTGCTTGTCATTTCCTCACCCTACACTTGTCCTGCTTCTGTCCTGCCATTTATATATTCAGATGTATGACAACACCATGGACATCACTACTGACTAGCATAACTTTGTGTTTGTACCACATCTTACATACCTGGTATGGTTGTCAGCCATATGCAAAGAAAGTGGCCAGGTTAGCTGCCAGCACTCAGCCACACAAGTACACTAATTGTGATGCTGCAAATTGTGGTTATATGGGATAAGCCTGACATGGTCTTCAGAAACTGGGTTCTGACACCTCTTGTTATGAACATCTGGATATAAGGGCAGATTCAAGATGGTTTATGCAATTCTTCATTGATTTTAAAGTCAAATACATTGGTGCCATGCACTCATTCTCTCAGAAAAGGATTATCCATGGATTGGCATAGCCTGGCAATTTGTCAAACACTTTTCAAACATTGAATTGACTTCTAAATATCTTTCAAAAAGTCTGATCTGCATGGTCAGAATAATGTCATTTTGCACTGCGTTTTCCGCAGAACATGCTTTATAACAAGGTCAAAGCTAGTTGCAGTTCTGTCCAATGCCATATGCATGGCCATATACTTTTGCTTTATGTACCCATTGACAACTATTGGTTTGACATCCTGACCTGACTTGACATGACCTAACCTGACGTGACTCCATGGGTGCCAATGGCATAGTGGTTAACACATCTGTGTTAACCACTGCATGTTTGGGAAACCAGAGGTATAGGGTGCGATTCCCCGCGGTGCCCGCTCTTTCCGCCAGGGTAAGAGGCGGCGACGCTGCATAGCCTCAGCAGCTGAGTGCGTCCTAAAGCCCCAACGACGACGACGACCTGAGTCCATTCACAGCAGCTTTACTGCCCAGCCGTGATCCTCATTAATCGGCCCAGGCCATTTGGAGCAGTGCTTTCTCGGGACCAGGCGGGAAAATTCGCTCCATGTTCATACAAAATCCTGGCTGCATATAAATCGCTGGTAATCTCCGTGGTTTGTAGCAGCTTACACCCGGCACGCCTCAGTCAATACTCGGCCTCGCTTGCATAGTTCAACTTAACCCCGGCCGCAACGGTCCTTAACAGCAAAAGCGCCGGCTTTGCCAGCAAAAGATCATGCCATGACCTCGGTCTAGTGGTATTGAGGGTGGGAGAGGGGGGGGGGGGGGACATCTTTCTCTTCGATGATCAAAATCGCGTCCACGGTCGGTACATGTAAAGCAACCCTGAAAAACCTCGACATCCGCAACTTTCGACCCTCGGCAGCAGTCCCGTGGCCGCCCAGCCATGTCTGAATAGGAGCTGGCCGGGCCGGCGGCGGCAGGCGCGGTGTCATCAGCCCGGGGACACTAACGGGCAGCATTTGCAGGCGCCCGGCCGGACTCGGACGGCGAGGGGGGCGCGCTGCTGCCGGGCGGTCTGCACCCCTCCGACCTGTTCTGCAGCGTGCCCGGCCGCCTCTCGCTGCTCGCCTCCAACTCAAAGTACAAAGTGAATGTGGCAGAGGTGCGCCGCCGCCTGGCGCCGCCCGAGTGCCTCAACGCCTCGCTGCTGGGCGGAATCATCCGCAGGTGGGTGGCCAGCCGACGGACCCACCGACCCACCGACCCACCGACTGCCGACGCCGGGGGACGGGACACGACAGGGCGCCGACCTGACCACCTGATCTGCCCCCGCGCGCCGCGTGACACCTCGCTGCGCCGCTCCTTGTCCTCAGCTGCTTAGACCAGCTCCTGGTCTTCTGGACCTCGGCTGGTCGCGCGGTCGCGCCTCGTCCCACGGCCTGCCGACGGCGCCGGTCCCTCTGCATGGCTCGGACCTGCCGCTTCACCTGAAACGTACAGCCTTCCCCGCTCCGCCGCCTCCTCCGGCCCGGACTCTCCCCGTCCGCCGGCGCTGGGCCGCGTCTCACGCCGCCGTCGGCCGCGCAGGCCTGTCGCGCGACCTGGCGCCGACGGACGTGTTCAGTAGCGTGCCGGGCCGCCTGTCGCTGCTCAGCTCCACCTCCAAGTACAAGGTGACGGTGGCCGAGGTGCGCCGGCGGCTGGCGTCGCCCGAGTGTCTGAACGCCTCGCTGCTGGGCGGCGTGTTCCGCAGGTAAGCCGAGCCGGGCGGAGCTCGAGCGGCGGGCAGGCGCCTCCGCGGCCGGAGCGGGGCGAGGTGAGCGCGCCACTCCGCTCCGCTCCGGCTGGAGGGGACCGGCTGTGGGCACCGCGCCGCGCTGGTGCAGCATGGTGCTTCACTGTGCAGGCCTGAGGCAGCGAGGACGCGCTGCGAGCTGGAGCCCCAGCGGTGCAGCTGGCTACGAACGCGCCGGCGCGGTGCATTAAGCTATGATGCCACCGGATGGCGCGCGAGTGGACACGCTAGAGGCTGACCGACATTAATCGGTCACTCAAACGCACAATACACTGCCGCGGACATCGGCGGCGCTCTCGATCCGGCGCTGATGGCAGTGGGAGAGCTCCAACCACGGCCGGGTGGGAGCCTCGGTCCCGCCGCCTCGTCTTCAGACGGCGGCCCTCCGTCTGCGCTCTGGAGGGCCCGGCACCAAGGGGTCGCTGGCACGCGCGGTGGCGTGTTTGATGTGGTGCGTGCTGCCCCATCCTGATCTACTTGGTCACATGTTCACCTCACGTGAACACGTTATGCCATGCGGAAACCCGCGGCACATGTTGCATGACAGGCTCTTTTTTAAATGCACACAATTGCGTGTGCGTGTTGTCTCGTATGTCATGGGATGCAGGTATCATGTCAGAGGCCGCTTGATAAGCTGCCAGGAACCTGAGAGCCTATGTTAGGATTGGGCGCGAAGTAGCCTTTGATGCCGAGACGCCCAAAAACCACCAATCATCAAGCTTACGTCGAGGCCCTGCTTTATGGCTTGTGTGTAAATTACCGCCAGTGGTAATACGAGGTCATTTTGAAAAGTTGGGTCACCCGTTAGATGACTGCGTAAGTCGTTTGTCGGGTCATTTCGATGCGCCGTGGGTCCAGCTTCAACGTATCCAGTGGTGTTCTTTTGCCAACTGGTGGAGTATGTTGCGTTTACCAGCACCAAACCGCACCACTATGGTGCCGGTGGGGATGTGCCACCACCTTTCTGCCAGAGCACGGGTGGTTGGCCGCGTATGAAGGCAGTTTCGATAAGCGGCGTGCGATGCTTGCCGTGGCTTCTGAGTCGGGACGTTTCGGCGGGTCGCGCATCAGGCTTCTCCCTGGCCAACGACCGGACGGCTGTAGGGTAGGCTCCGTGCTAGGCTTCTTCTTAAACTGGAACACTCTCTGTACCATGAGGGGCTGAATGACCCAGCCCTTCTCCGTCGGCTGTCTGACAGTGCGGGCCGGAGGTTTTCTCTGATCGTCTATCGGTCCGCCCCGACCCTATGGTCCTGGTGAGAGGTAGTATATCTTTGGCGGCCGCGTTCATTTGGCCTGGCCGGAGCCGCTCTCGCCCGCTCCGGTATCTCCGCCCGCTCTCTTCTCCGCGCGCCGAATAGGACAGTGGTTAACCCCGTTCCGCCTGCTGGGAAAGCTGTCGGCCGCACATTTGGCGGCTCGGCGCGGCCAGAAATGGCCCGCGCGCCCCGCGCACTCTGCAGACTGCTGCCACTTGAAGAGCCGCCGACTCGAAATTACATTGCCGTCGGATTTATGGTCGACGGGCATGCCTCCTCAATTACCCGTAGCAGCTAATTGGCCGGCGGGAGATTGGCGAGCCATTCGCCGGCCGGTTCTTTTTCCGGCCGAGCGAGCTGCGCGAACTCATCTCAGCGCTCGGATCAGTTTCGGCGCCTCGCACCCAGACCGCCGGTGCCACCGTGGTGTAGATGCGTCACTTGGGTAGCGAGCGCACTGCCTGTTATCGGCTGCCTCCTCGCTTCAGATCCCCGACGCTCGTCGGCTTTCCACTGTCCGGCTTCGGCCGATCGCCTCCCGCGTCAGCGCCCGGCCCTGGTCGGACGTTCCCGTGGTTTCGCCCGGCGACTGGAGTCGGCCCGGCCGGATCCGCACGCTCCCGCGGTTCGGCTAACGACGCCCGCTCTCCGGGCAGTCCGGCGTCCGCCGGTGCTAATGGCCGGTCAGGACGCGGCTGTCGGTCACTTTCTTTTCGGCGGCGCCGGTGGCGTGCTGCGGTCCGCCTCCCCCCCCCCCCCCCTCCGCCGCCGCCGCCGCCGCCGCTCGCGCCGACCCAGCCCCGTCCTCCGCGCTCGGTGAAACCGCTCCCGGACGGCCGGATGACGGGCTGAGGCCGCCGCTGACAGGTGGATCGGGGTCGGCCTCGGCCCGCTGACGGCGGGAGCCCGGAGCCCGGAGCCCGGAGCCCAGCCGAGCGGCAGGACAGGCGTCCGGCGGCCTGTCCCGGGCGGCAGGAGGGGCGGCACCGGCCCACGGCCGCCGTTGGCTCGCCTGCCGGCGACGCTGCGGGAGAACGGTGCCTGTCGCGGAGCGGCTGTTACGGCACGCTCGGCTCTGGCGGCGTGCTCGGTGTCGCTCCTGCATCACAGTCGCCAAGCCGCTTGCGTCCTAGCCCGAGCGAGGAGGGAACGAAAGCTTCTGGCGCTGTCTGTGGCCCGGCCAGGTTTTGCGACCAGTGATCGCGCATTGTAGACAATGGTTCGTCGCGACCTGTTAGACACTGTCTCTGTTTCACCGCGTTTTCCGCGGTCGGTTGAAGCCTGCAGAGTCTGGTGTACGCACCCCTGACCCAACCGCCCACCAATGTCGTCCACGTCGGCCTGAACGAGTCCACCGCTTCCCTAGCACCAGGCTCGGTGATGGGGAGCGGGCCTCTGGCTTCGCAATGCACTTCCCGCTGGACGGAGGAAAGGGTCCGTCCGCCCGTGGCTGTAGTGCGACAGGGTGATTCCCTCGCTCCAACCGCGTGCCTGCGCTGGCAACATGGCGATGGTGACGACGCCGACGTCGTGCTGTGGATGCTGAGTAATTGCTGTCGGCCGTTCTGTGGGCCCGAGCGACTTCTGGCGATCTGGCAGGGTGACTCACTCCAACAGGCGCCACCTATAGCAGCGCGTCCCGGCGACGTCGAGACTGGCAAAGCATCGGCTCTCTTGAACTGCCAACCCTGTCGCATGACCGCACGCCAGTGAGAGTGCTCCAGTTTAGAGCTGTTTGATCCAACGTGGCAGAGTGCGACACGCGGAACACTCAATTCTAGTTCATTGCTGTTTGTGTATGGGTTCTTTCGTGAGCTGCGAACTTTTGCAGACATACCCAATCCATGTCAGCGCCGCGTTGTTTCATGGTCCGACAGCGTACCCGTGACCTTGACATGCACCCGTTTGTCTGCAGGGCGAAATCGAAGAATGGAGGTAGGTTACTGCGGGAAAACCTAGAGAAGATCGGCTTGAACCTGCCTGCGGGCAGGAGGAAGGCGGCCAACGTCACGCTGCTGACGTCACTGGTCGAGGGTGAGTCAGCCGGTTCGGTGCAGAGTCCCGAGCGTCACCCTCCAGACGCAAGAGCCAGTCCAGCCCGTGGGATCGATAGAACTTATCATAAGACTGACATGTTTCCTGCAGGTAGACCGTCGAAGACAAGTTTGGTCAAAGGCGGTTTGCGCATCGTTCAGCAGCATGATGTGTGCGGGCTTGCGTGCGAGTGTGAAGTGCTTCACACTTCACACTCGTATGTGTGAAGCACTCGTCTGCCGACTGGCCGGCGCCGCTGCCAGCCAACATGGGCTCGCCGTGGCCGTGCCTCTCTCTGTGATGCTGCCCGCCCGCCAGCGTCCGTTGACCCCGACTGGCAACAGCGGCCGTGCAGGCGTGCCGGCCCGCCCATAATGAGCGGCTGCTGCGGCGCGCGAGCGATGGCTGGGGTGCGGCCCCGGCTGCGCGTGGGGTGCCCCGACTGCGGCGATGACGGCGCGGCTCGGATGCCGCCCGGGGCGGCGCGTAGACGCCGCCCGGACGCCGGAGAGTGTCGTGAGGGGCGGGTGCAGCTGCGGGGCGTCGGCGCGCGCAGGTGCGGCGGCAGGGTTGGTTGGGCCAGTCGACCTGTTGGGATGTACCCGTGTCTTGGAAGCTTGAAACGAATCGCGTCCGTGCTCGCCCTGGTATCCGTCCGTGTCTTGACGCCAGCTCTGCACCTGTCCCGCTCACCTCGCCCAGTCGCGTCCGTGCTCGCCCGGGTATCCGTCCGTGCCTTGACGCCAGCTCTGCACCTGTCCCGCTCACCTCGCCCAGTCGCGTCCGTGCTCGCCCGGGTATCCGTCCGTGCCTTGACGCCAGCTCTGCACCTGTCCCGCTCACCTCGCCCAGTCGCGTCCGTGCTCGCCCGGGTATCCGTCCGTGTCTTGACGCCAGCTCTGCACCTGTCCCGCTCACCTCGCCCAGTCGCGAGCGGGCCAGGCTGCCGCCGGCAGAAGCGCGGCTGTCGCGCGGTCACGTGACCCCAGCCGGAGCGGCGCTGGACGGCGGACGGGTGGTGCCGTCACTGCCGCATCATCTCGCGAAGAATGGCCTATTCGGTGCAGCTAGCTTGCGTCAGCCGGCGACGGGTGTCGCTCGCGAGGTCCCTGTTGGCGTCCGCTGCTTGGGCCGCCCGGGCCGCGCGCGTCCCCTACCATCGCCGTAACCCGTGACTCCACGCCCGCAGGCGAGGCCATCCACCTGGCGCGCGACTTCGGCTACGTGTGTGAGACGGAGTTCCCGTCGCGTCAGATCGCAGAGTACCTGTGCCGCCACCACGCCAACCCGGCCGAGCAGTACCAGCGCCGCGAGCTCGTCAAGGCCACCAAGTGAGCGCGCTCTGGCCGACGGCGCGGCGGCTCGGGGCTTCCCTTGGGCCTCCCGGGGCCGCGGGCGCTGGGGTGCCGGCGCCGGCAATGTCCGGCGACCGGTTGCCTTCTGAGAGCGGCGGTCCTCGGGGCCTGCCTGTCCGTATTGTACGGTGAACGTGCCAGCGGAGTGGATCAGTCCCGGGGTGCACTGAAATAAAGTCTAGTTTACCGAGAACATGCGCGGGCTGAAATCCCCACAGGAGGGGAATTTCAGGTCATACTGGCGATATCGGGACGCCGTCTTTGTTTTCGACTGGGATTCTGCTGGGATTTTCTGCTGGGATTCGCCGTGGCGTCCCACAGCCGGACTGTCCGCGGGGTTTGGACGCGGTGCGCCTGGTACCACAGGGAGATCACCAAGGAGCTGATGGACCTGCTGAACCAGGACCGGTCGCCGCTGTGCAACACGCGGCCGCAGATCATCCTGGACCCGCAGATCCAGCGGCACCTGACGCACTTCTCGCTCATCACGCACGGCTTCGGCAGCCCGGCCATCGTGGCCGCCCTGACCGCCATACAGGTGCGCGTACGGTAGCGTCATCTGACTGCCAAACAGGCGCGTGTTTATCACTGTGACTCTGACCGCCACGGAGGTAGGTGGGCTGCATACCTGAATGCTAGGCGGGTCTGTGTGGTCCATTGCGGTTTGCCGTTTTCAGGTGTGTCGTTCGTGACCCCGCTTGGCGGAGGTGGTGGGAGACCGACTCCGTGCACGTGCGTGTGGCCGGGCAGGGTGTTCTGACCGGGTGTGTAGTATTGCCCCAGACCGTGATGTGTGGAGCATACCCCGACCCCATAGCGGTGCGTTACCCCGACCGACCGACCGAGTCTGACCGGGTGTGAGTATTGCCCCAGACCGTAATGTGTGGAGCATACCCCGACCCCATAGCGGTGCGTTACCCCGACCGACCGACCGAGTCTGACCGGGTGTGTAGTATTGCCCCAGACCGTGATGTGTAGAGCATACCCCGACCCCATACCGGTGCGTTACCCCCGGCCGACCGACCGAGTCTGACCGGGTGTGTAGTTTGCCCCAGACCGTGATGTGGTGCATACCCGACCCACCCCTAGCGGTGCGTTACCCGGCCGACCGACCGAGTCTGACCGGGTGTGTAGTATTGCCCCAGACCGTAATGTGTGGAGCATACCCCGACCCCATACCGGTGCGTTACCCGACCGACCGACCGAGACTGACCGGTGTGTAGTATTGCCCCAGACCGTGATGTGTGGAGCATACCCCGACCCCATACCGGTGCGTTACCCCGACCGACCGACCGAGTCTGACCGGGTGTGTAGTATTGCCCCAGACCGTGATGTGTGGTGCATACCCCGACCCCATACCGGTGCGTTACCCCGACCGACCGACCGAGTCTGACCGGGTGTGTAGTATTGCCCCAGACTGTGATGTGTGGTGCATACCCCGACCCCATACCGGTGCGTTGCCCCGACCGACCGACCGAGGCACGCCATGGAGACCCTGGATGACAGGCATCGTTTGGGACCCTGACTGACATGGATGGCGTTGGACTTAGGCTGACACGTGTGCGCCAGCACCCGGGTGACGCGTGTAATGACCCTGGTCACCACGTGGACAAGGTTATATTGCGTATGCGCTGTCTGCTGCCGTGCGAAGATCCGTAGGGACACGCAGTAGCATGATCCAAATGGAACTCGCAGTGGCGTGGTGCTGGTCTGGGTTTTTGCGCTGGCCTATGTGAAGCATGAACACGTCATCCGAAGCATGAACACGTCATCCGGGTGTGATGACCAAGCGTCATCCTGCGGCGCGATCAGAGCTGGGCTAACTGACTTCTCTCCCCTCCCCAGAACTACCTGAACGAGTCGCTCAAGTGTCTGGACAAGTCAGTTCCCCTCCAACATCCACATCCACCTGGGCTCGCCGGGCCTGGACAGCAAGCACAAGGACCTGGACAAGAAGTAGTCGGCGCCGGCGGCGCGGCCCGGCCGGCGCCGGGTCGGCGCCCGAGGCCAGCGCGCGCGGGGCGGCGCGGCCCGCCGCGCGCTCGTGTGCACGTGCCGCCGTTGACCCACCGCGTGTGCCATTGGGGTAGAGAGAGCGCCGAAGCTGGCCCGGCCCAGCCTCGGGGCCGCCGGCAGTGGCCGGTAGGGAGCGTCTGCCGTCCCAAGCGTGCCTTAGCGGGCGGCGAACGCGCCGCGTTGTGTACAGTGTTTAGAGAGCGAGACGGAGAGGTGGACGTCAGTATTGTGCCCTCTAGCCCATGGCCGAGTCTGCTGGCTTTGCTCAAGGTCCGCCGGGCGGGCGGCCGGGTCCGCGGCTGGCGGACGGGACTGGTATCAGTAGTGTCGGTCGGGGCCGTCGGTGGCGCTGCTGCCGCCGCGCCGACAATGGCGGGGATTATGAAGTAACGCCGATTGTGCTGGCCAGCAACCCGTCGCGGAGACGTCTATGCATATCTACTTGCATGCGGAAATGGTACCTGGCGTTGTCTTGCTGCTGCGGCGGGTGGGGAAGGGCGCCGTTCAGGCTTGGCTCGGCGCCGCCAAATACTCAGCTGGGGGCCGCTCCCGTCCGCGATCATTCCAGAGGCGTCCGGCGGCCGTATCTTGTGTCTAGGCGCGCTGTGCGCCGCGCGCGGCCCGCGTCGGCGGAGGCGGCCGGGGGCGCTCCGATGCCCGTGTCGCAGTGCGATGGGTCCAAAATCCGAGTGTGTTGGGGTTGTGCCTTTATGCCCTGCATGACGGGATGCGGTGTGACGCGTCACAAGCTCGTGTGACGCGATGTCTGTGCTTCCTGGGTGCCAGCGCACGTTTTGTGACCGCTGCCGTTTTGTATCTCAGCGCGTAAAAGGATGGCCTATGTTTTGACGTGTCATCGTTCATTTACAATAAAGTCATTCCAACGCCCGCACCAAGTCAGTCCAGATTGAATGGAATCAGACCAGCTGAATGATTCAAGGAATTATATACCTACTGAAAAGGGCAAGCTTATTGAACCTGTGAAAGACCATACATGCCAGTTGCACCTCGTACAGTGGTGTTAGTATGCTGGAGCCAAAGCATATATATATATATATATACCACGAAAGTTATTTCGTCGAGTTCAGTTATGCTTTTCGTGGTTACATTTTCAATGGGTGATGGAGAAACGGTACACTCGTCAGCAATGTACCCTCTTACGGGCAGGGCTATAACATAAGCAACTCATTGAAAATGTGACCAGTCCTGGCAAGATCGCCATTGTCAAGTGTAGACGCTTGAGCTCCATTGTGGACGAATGAATGTGGGCGCCTGGTCTCGATGCACGCTTAGGCGGATGAAACCACGCCTAACTCTGGTGACATGTTTGTATCTCTAGGACCGGCATGATATTGCATTCGTGTCTGACTAGGACTTCACATGCTAAATGCACATAGACACGGCTATCTCAAGGCGCTGAGATCCCCAATCTCAAGGCACGGCTGTCTGGTATGGACAGCACGGCGGACGCGACGGGGCGCGGTGCTTCGCGTATCTCGTGCCCTGCAAGACACTTCAGTATGAAAAGACAGGACATCATATGCGGCGTGCCAGTGAACTGACAGAAACAAGGCTGCCAGTAGAAACGACGCCGCACTCTGGGTGACGTACCAAAAAGAGGTACCATTGCTTAGGTGACTCAAACGATGCCATCGCACCGTGAGTTTACACGACAATCATACCCTGCACACGACAATCATACCCTGTACACGACAATCATACCCTGCACACGACAATCATACCCTGTACACGACAATCATACCCTGCACACGACAATCATACCCTGTGCTTAGTACGGACTAGCTGCGTCTGAGCCGGGCAAAACACCAGGGAACTCAGAGCTCCTACAAAAATAACAGGTTCGTTCAATCTCAGACACCCTGCGTGCACAGTCCGCTCTCCGTCCCATCACGTGCCAACGATTCCACCCGCGTGGAAGCCGTCCTTGCGGTCCCACCTCGCGCTCGCGGGAAGGACAGCCCCCCCCCGCCCCCCACTGGACCGCACTGCCGGCAAAGGCGACCTGATCCGCCCGGCTTCTGCTGTGTCCGTGCGGCATCCTGTCCCGGCTTCCGCGCTGTCCGTGCGGCATCCTGTCCCGGCTTCTGCTGTGTCCGTGCGGCATCCTGTCCCGGCTTCCGCGCTGGCCGTGCGGCATCCTGTCCCGGCTTCCGCGCTGTCCGTGCGGTATCCTGTCCCGGCTTCCTCGCTGTCCGTGCGGTATCCTGTCCCGGCTTCCGCGCTGTCCGTGCGGCATCCTGTCCCGGCCTCCTCGCTGTCCGTGCGGCACCCTGTCCCGGCTTCCGCGCTGTCCGTGCGGCACCCTGTCCCGGCTTCCGCCCTGTCCGCGCGGCATTCCGTCCCGGCTTCCGCCCTGTCCGTGCGGCGTCCTGTTCCGGGGCGCTAGACGATCCGCCACTGAAGCAGGGCGGCGTCGGTACCACCCACGGTCACCAGGTGGCGGTCGGTGCGCAGGAACCGGGCACAGGCCACGTGGGAGCTCTGGGGGTTGTACCGGTGGCACTGAGGTGTGTCCCGCATGCTCAGCGGACACGGATACCTGCCAGCAGAAGGCGCGACACAGACGCGTCACACCCACTGAGCCAACAGCGGCGCCTCCTCCTGGACGGCATGGAGCATGCTGCGACGTGGAGGTATGTGCTGTGCAACGGGAAGCGTAATGCACGCTGTGCAATGTGCATGCCGGAGTGGGTTGCAATGTGGCATTGGATGTGTCCCGCGGACTGCACAGAAACGGCTATGGTACGTGCGCTGTGACAGCGAGTGCTATCGTAGCGTTCCCCGTGTTTGCCCAAAGCATCGATTGTATTCGACTGTATGTGTACACAATGTCAGCTAGAGACCACCTCCTCGGCGCACCATGCGTTGGGTGAGCTTGGCCAGCTCACAGAGTAACGCAGCTGATACGCAGTGCACAGCGGTACCAGCCTGACGCCGTGTGAGGCTTGGCACGGACGTGCGACAGCGGGCTGGGAATGTGAGGCGTCATCGGGTACACAGTGCACAACGGTGCCAGCCTGATGCCGTGTGAGGCTTGGCACGGACGTGCGACAGCGGGCTGGGAATGTGAGGCGTCATCAGGTACATGATGCCAAAAACTAGAGCAATTGGCACCTATAGACCTATAGCACCTACGGCAACTTACGCCAATGGGCTCTATCAGTATGTTGGAAAATCCGCTTTTCCTGAAGGTGAGCAGACTGAGGTCTTCTGATAAGGTTTGGGTGCTAATTCACGAATAACATTGCTTGGGGATGGCTGGCAACGAGGCTGCCGAGGCCTAAAAATTTTGGTTGACTAACTTGATGAATTTACAATGATTTATCTGTAGTAAAGACGACCAAATTATTGTAAAACCGCACAAATTTGGGATGGATATTGGCTACATCGAGAACACTAATACGGCAGTATAACTTGCATGGCCAATCTCTCTTCTCTTAGGTCACACTGTCTTGTATTCGAGCTGGATATCGGGCTTGGTGACGTTGCCGGTTTCCGGCTGATTATTAAGGTAACTTTCGGCGGGACAGCTTTTAGACCGGTGAGCTAAAGCCGGCACATTCACCTTCACCGTGCAGTGATATCAATTTTTCATTTCCTCTGGCTGCTAAGATGATATCCCAAACAGGCAGACTCATCGTTTGAAAACAATAGCGTTCCGCACATATCCACCCACACCTCTCTCGGTACGGTCGTCCGTTTTCTCCTCCGTTAGTATTACTTAGTCTCGGCTCGTTCGCAAAACCGGAACGTTGAGATAAATGCCCAGGTTCCGATCCGGTTTTTCAGCTCCATTTGAAGGCTGAAAACTTTGCCTTATCGATGACGATCAAATGGAAGAGAGGATATTGCGATGATATTCCAATGTTTCCAGGAAAAGCCGTCCCATAAAATAGGTTTTATCCAGATGCCCGCAAATCTATGCAGAACATCTTTTGACATTTACGGTTCCTGTCGCTAAGAATTACATGAACCAGTGAACAGGGGCTGCAAACTGATAAGCGTCTAGGCTGTACAACGCCGGGGCCGAGCTGCCAACATTGAAGCTTTTTAACTTAGCGGATAATGCGCATAAGAAAACGAACAAAAACCCCTTTAGACCACCCGAGCCGAGTCCCACCCGGTCCACAGGCCTGGCCGAGCCCCATCTCACCTGTACAGCTGCAGACCTCCCTCTGAGTCGCCGACAGCCAGCAGGTCGTGCTCACGGGACCTGCAGGCTGTCAGCAGCACCTTGCCGTGCTGGGCGTCGGCGTAGCTGTCCGACCAGGCCCGCAGCTGGTTGATGTAGTGTAGGTCAGGCCACGCTCCTGAAGCCGCGCCAGGTCACGACAGGTCAGGAGCCCGAGATCGGCCGCGCGATAGGTCAGAGCAGGACGGACATGTCATAGAGCCTCACCTTAGCCGATCCCGCGGACTCAAGGTAAAGTGATGCCTTCGGGCACAGCCCAAGGCATTACGTAAACGTAGTACCTCAATTATTCTGAAAGCAAGGCTGTTGAAGAGACAAGAGCAACGTGCTCTTACGTATAATCAGCGCATTTCCCACGCGAATGTTTTGGGAATGAGTGAACACGAACCAGGATATATACGGCCCATCAATATATCAACTCCTACACGACACTCCCCAGTGCAGCTAAATCTCAACTTATTGTGTGCCGGCCCTGGTCATCCCGCCGTCACAGGAGCCGTGCCAGCCGACCCGCGAATACATGGCGGCGAGGGGCGGGGCTCACCGAGCACGTGGTATCCGACCGTGCAGGTCTGCGTGGCCCAGTGCTTGTCTCGCAGATGGTACGGCGATTTCTCCTTTGACAGCGACCGCTTGCTCCCTGGCGGAGATCGACGCGCGTTCAAACCCCGGGCCGGGGAGAAAGAACGGATGACCAGCCAGCAGTGGTGCGACGATTTAGGGCACATGCGCGTTTATTTAATTTCTGCCAGACGCTTAGAGCGGTAATCCAAAGACAGCATGCTTGCATCAGGCCCGTGTCAACTGGGATGCATGCCAGGCGTAATGAATTGAAGTAGATGGTGCTCTTTATGCTCTGCCAAAGATAGGTTTGTCTGCTGAAACATTTTTTGCCTATTCCTGGCATGACAAACGAGGAAGACGGTCGCCTTTTTTGGCTCTATCATACATTGTATTGCCAGTTAGGCAGGAACAAACGACGGAGTTCTGTTAACACTTATCCGTCTGCAGATACCCGGAGTAACCCAGTTTGTCCGCTGGCGACCTGCAGGTACTCACAGTAGACCAGCTCGTGTCCACTGGTGACCTACAGGTACTCACAGTAGACCAGCTCGTGTCCACTGGTGACCTTCTACAGATACTCACAACAGACCAGCTCGTGTCCACTGGTGACCTTCTACAGATACTCACAACAGACCAGCTCGTGTCCACTGGTGACCTGCAGGTACCCACAGTAGACCAGCTCGTGTCCACTGGTGACCTGCAGGTACTCACAGTAGACCAGCTCGTGTCCACTGGTGACCGTCTGCAGGTACTCACAAAAGACCAGCTCGTGTCCACTGGTGACCGTCTGCAGGTACTCACAACAGACCAGCTCGTGTCCACTGGTGACCGGTCTGCAGGTACTCACAGTAGACCAGCTCGTGTCCACTGGTGACCGTCTGCAGGTACTCACAGTAGACCAGCTCGTGTCCACTGGTGACCGTCTGCAGGTACTCCCCGTCAACGCTCCAGTCCAGCTGGGTGATGGGATGTGAGCCCTGCATGGGGCCGAACTTGACGTAGATCATGCCGTCCCGTCCCACCTTGAAGGGGTACACGCTGCCGGTCTGCGCTCCGATCGCCAGCATGTCGCCCCCTGCCGGCGGCACAGATCGACCGTGGCACACTCAAACGGCTCAGCAACGCCGATTGCTCACCGCACACACAGACGATTGCGTCGGAGTACAGAACGCTTCAGTTCAACTGTGGAGAGAGTTTGGCGGCACAGCGTGGAGGACTCGTCCACAAGAACCGGCTGTGCTAATGACTGGCCGCAAAACAACTCCAAAAGTAAGAGCCGTAACTATGTGGTAAAAAAGCAAGCATATGACTGCTGTCGCCTGTGCGGGGGGGGGGGGGCAGAATTCTATAGCAATCTGTTGCTGGCTATTGCAACAGCGCAACCCGTATTATTCCCCTTGCAGAACGCACAATCGCTCAAATGGAGTTAACGCTATTTCATCGGAGGAAAACTTCCGCTTTTTACCGTAATACGATGCTAATGCATGACAAAACTGCAAACAAGACTCATCCAGCCATATGTTTGCTCACGTATCGTGTCCAATGCGGGACAGGCAACTGCTGAGCGAGCCGCAGCTGACAGCGGCAGCGGCAGCGGCCTCTGTCTGACCTGGGCTGTAGCTGACGGTGCCAGCGGCAGCTGCCCCTGACTGACCTGGGCTGTAGCTGACGCAGTTGAGCGACTGGCCGCAGACGCGGAACGAGCCGATCTGCGTGCCGTCCGACAGCTTGTACACGTACAGGTGTCCGTCGGCCGAGCCCACGGCCACGACCGTGTCCAGCGGGTGGACGCTGCACGACACCGCCTCGCTGCTCACCTGGGAGCGGTCGCCGACACAGGCGGGGTGAGTGTGTCTCGGGCGGCCGCCCGCAGTGACCGCTGCAGTGATCCCCGCAGTGACCGCCGCAGTGACCCCCGCAGTGGCCGCCGCAGTGACCGCCGCAGTGGCCGCCGCAGTGATCACCGCCAGTCAACGCCCCTTCAGGCTCTTTTTATGTGAATGGGATTTGGATTAACGAAGGATACTAGAGGGCAGTTCGGGCGGCAGTGTTGTTTGGTTCCCCCTGTAATTGAACAGTTAAGACAGAGGTCTGTGAAATGCCGCAATAATGTGCCTCTGGGGCGTGAACGACGCTTCTACCCAACGTGCATGCATTTTTGTGATAATGATGGTAGCCATCTGACCACTTCAAACCAGAAATAGCATGGATGTTCCATTGACAGACATCAACTGGTCGAACGTGAACCGCCATCGTTGGTAACGAGGAGGGAGCGTTTCATGAACATCAAAGAAAAACGGCATTCTCCTGTGCATTGCCGCTCTCGCTCTCCCCTCCCTCACTCATCTCTCTCTCTCTCTCTCTCTCTCTCTCTCTCTCTCTCTCTCTCTCTCTCTCTCTCTCTCTCTCTCTTCTCTCTCTCTCTCTCTCTCTCTCTCTCATCTCCTCTCTCTCCTCTCTCTCTCTCTCTCTCTCTCTCTCTCTCTTCTCTCGCTCTCTTGCTGCCTCGCGCTCTCTCTCTCCCCCTCTGGCTCCCTGGCTCTCTGGCTCTCTCGCTCACCACCTCTTTACAAGTATTTCCTTTCACATCGTACACTCTCCGTATCTGTCCCACTCCTCTGAGTCCACTCCATCTGAGATGAGCGTGGTGAGCTCACGCTACGACGTCACAGTGAGCTGCACCCGGCCGTTACTGTTGGCATAGTGAGGCAGCGCTTACCGGCGACTTCCATATAAGCTTACGCTGCGCCGACCACTTGGCCACCACCCTGTCGCTTCCCGCGGTGACAAACGACACCTCCTCGTTGCAGGTGGCCAGGCCCGACAGCTGTTTACTGTGGCCGAACACCACCTGTGGATCACGCACAGATGCTCGCGTGAGATCCACTGTCATAGGCGAAGAGAACGAGCATCGAACATCGAGCACGAGCATAAAATACGAACATCGCAAAGATGGCGGGCGCACTCATCCATTAGTGACCCAAGGAGTGGCTTCATGAAGGGAGGCTGCATGCTTTCTTCCAGTATTATCTTCCGATCGCGGAGGAGCGCAGGACCCACCGTGTTGAAGCGACGCATCATGGACCCCTCCAGGATCATGTTCCTGATTGTGCCGACGTAGATGTTGCCGTCATTGGTGCCGACACGCTGCGGACACAGTGTCCGGATGCTGCCGGCCGCCTCTGGCAGCTGTAAAGGTCATACGAGGTTAGACGCTGTCGCCTCGGCCTCGCCTGCAGGTGACCGCGGTCAGCTGAGGTCTCTGGAGGTCAGCGGAGATAAACTGCTTTCGGCACGGATTACTAAAGATCAGAAGTGGTCAACAGAGGTCAATCCAGATTATGTGAGGTCAGCTGAGATATGTGGATGTCAACGAATGTCAGCTGTTATCGGTGCAGGTCATCCAAAGTCAGAAGGATTCCAGAGAACGCAGGTCATTTGAAACAAATCATCATTAAGCTTCATAATGAAGTAACTAACGAGGTTACATAGTGAGGCAAGATGAGGTCAGAGGGGCGAACCGAGCTCAGACCACCAAACCACGCGATGGTGGGCCTCAGCCGACCGACTAATGCTGTGCAAATCTCAACCGTCAGTTTTCACGGTCCCTGTTCTTTCCCCTTCGGTGAAATGAATCGATATAAGTATGTGTGCAACCACTGCTAGAAACAAAGCCATCTAACTCGTAAAGCTGGTGAGCACGTGTTCTGTTGCATGCCGAGAGGATTAAACTCCTTCATAGTGATCGTTATCATTCGAAGTGTTCGCTGCTCCCATTAGCATGCCCAACAGTCGTTCACATGCACAGAGACGGTCGATCGCTAGCGCACGGCAGCGACCAAAAACCGTCTCTCAGTTATCCAGCTATTTCAGGAGGTCGCCATGGCAACCCACAAACAGGGTCCCGGTGACAAACAGCAGGAGGGACACCGGACAGGGCATGGGTCACGCCAGTTCGCCTATCGTGTCTTGAGACAATATTATGGCCGCGGGAAATGGTGTCAGGCGTGGGAGACACGCTAACTGACCATCACACGAGCTCAAGCCTCGGCAGTCAGACCGTAATGAGGCGAGGCCACGGAGCAGAGGCGGACGCCTTCTTGCCGTAGTGCCTGCCCTAGAAAGCTCCGTAGTCACAGGCCTTGCACTGGCCGCCTATGTCACCGTGGGCATGTGAGCGTGGCTAAGCCTGTCGGTGAACTTCGCGAATGCATTAGCTCCCCGTCCAGCGCAAATGGAAGTTTTAAATGACTTCCTCGGCACAGTTTCAGTGTAACGAGCATTGTTTTAGGACCTGGCTCTTATGGCAGCGGTCAAATAATGGCTCTTTACGCGCGTTTTTAACGCGACGAGTTGACCAAGTAAACAAACCAACAGAATCAGACACCCAGCGCAATTTACACGACTGCATGTTCCATTGATTTATAGATTGTCGGAACCTGTTAAGACCATCCACCCTACAAGCTAGATGACTCTGAATAGGTCGCTAAGGCTCGGGAGAACGATGCAAACTGCAAATAGCTCTAAATAAATTACAAAGTGAGGTGGACGGTATAGAATATATTTTACTTCACAGGAGAAACGGAAGACTGAAAAGCAGCATCCATGTTGTTTAGATGTTAAGCATGCGAAGAGAAACTTAATAGCGTTTAACACTCCCATGGTTGCGTGGTTTTTCTCGAGGCAGAAAAAGAGACATATCACATTCTAGATTAGCGGGCGGCATTTGCAACTCTAACATGTGAGTGCATTCTTACAAGAATATATATATATATATATATATATATATATATATATATATACATATGTAAAGATGCATATCTATATGCATATATATGCATTAAATATATGTATACAAACACATCTATATGCATATATATGCATTACATATATATATATATATATATATATATATATATATATATACGGCCTGAGGAGCAGAGCGGCCAGGCCATGCTGCCGGCGCGGCACGGCGCCGGACCGCCAGGCCATGCTGCCGGCGCGGCACGGCGCCGGACCTGGCTACTCGCCAGCTGGCTACTCGCCCTGGTCTCGGCGCGCTTGCTGTAGCCGTGCTCGCAGTCCCAGGCGCAGATCTTGCGGTCGCGCTCGCCGCCAGAGAGCAGCGTCACTTCGGACAACAGCAGCAGCGCCGTCACCGCGCACGAGTGCGCCTGGCAACAGGCGCACAGTCAGGTGACCGGCACAGGCGCGGCGCGCGAGGGCGGTGGTGGCGGGCGGTGGTGGCGGGCGGTGGTGGTGGATTTATCAGCGGAAAGGGACACACGGAGGCAACAATTCTCAGAATATTTGACTGGCGGTGAGGAGAAACTCCACCAAGGCTGCGAGAAGCTAATCGTAACTACCGAGCACGGAGGCCGGTTCCAGTTGCGTGATGTTTTGCTCTGTTCCGGGCGGGCAGATCTCTAGTATCAGTCGGAGCCATACTCACCTCAAAGTCGAGCTTTTTGCGATAGTCTCCGTTGTTGTCGATTGTCCACGTGGTGATAAATCCCTCTGAATCTCCCGTTATGAGGTCTCCTCCGGCCTCAAAAGCAACACTTAACACTGTTTTTCTCGTAGACTGGAAACGTAACAGTGTTGTGAACGTAGGCATTCCTCGCTTATGTGCAGGTCTGGCCCGAGCAGCCATGGATGGAGCTTGGCCGCATACTTGGACGGCTTCGAGCCCCCTCTCTCAATGCTTCTGAGCACTGGCATTAGTGTCAAGCATATAATGAATAGGTAAACATCCTTATGTCCTTGTTCTTATTCACATGGTTCTGTCAGCTCTGTTGGCCTCTTGCGAGGGCTGTATGCCTGTCATTACGCTTAATCGCGCACCAGACGGGGACTAACGGCCAAAACATTATGCGAGAACCTGGCACGACTTTCGGACATTACCGATTGGTTGCAATAACTGAGAATACAGCATCGCTTTGGATTACATCATCTGACCCCAACATAAAACCACGTGCAATGACTGTTCCGCCGTCCGCTGAGGCAGTTCGCCAGCT